TGTGCGATCTAAATTGCCTAGTGTAGGCGACAATAAGACGCTCCAGATCCAAGTTGAATCAAGTCATTTGAAGTTGTGACCAGAACGCTATGAACGTTTGAAGCCGCTGTGCAGAAATCCGACTGTGCACTCTATCTTTTGTTTTAGGCACATTGGAGCCTACTGTGACTATAACAAGTGGTATCAGAGCCCCTTGGAGCAGTTTCGACAATGGCTGGACCTGAGGAAAGGGGTGGCAGAGGTGCTGGTGGCAGAGGAGAAGCCCAAGCTCAAGGCCAACCCCGTGATTCAACCATGGCGCCCGTGCAACCAAGTGTTGGCCCATCTAGGGATGAGCCTAGAGTATTTGGCCTTGACAAGTTCAATGGTGACAACTTTGCTGAGTGGTCCTTCAGAATGGAGAACATATTTGACCACTATGACCTGCTCGAGGTGATGGAAGGAACGGAGAAGCGTCCCGAGAACGACCCGGAGAAGAGCCCGTGGGTGCGGAAGAGCGCACAAGGCTACCTCCTACTTGGGCAAGCGTTGGGGAGCAGCCAAATCCGTCACATCAAGCCTTTCCAGCGTGAACCAGAGAAGGGACCAAAAGCATGGGCTGCTCTCAAGGGTGTACACGCTCCTGCAGCAGCGGCGGTAGCTGTGGTGTTGGAACGGAAAATGGCGACGTTACGAATTGAAGAGGATGAAGCGGTTGAAGAAGGGGTGCAGAAATTCTTTGCCTTGTTGACGCGGCTTGAGGGAGAGGAATTGAACTATAGCGAGCTCCAAAAGAAGACCAAGTTGCTGGCCCTACTCCCCGAATCATGGTCCTCGCTCATCATCAACCTGAATCGCGACTTGCCCCGCCTCTCGCTCGAAGACGTGAAGCGACCTATCCTTCAAGAGGATTTCGAACGGTCGCGCTAAGGAGAATGAGCTCAAGAAGAGAAAACCTGGAGGGACCAGCAAGTTCAGTGAACCTAAGGAGAGTGGTGCAGCAGCCAAGGAGCAGCAAAAGGGTGAGGAGAACCCCGAGGCAGCAGCGGAGGAGGACTACGGAGAGAGTATGTGGGGCGCTATTGCGAGCGCGGCATTCTCCAATCCAACTTCGGCTACGGGGGAGTGTGATTGGCTCACCTTGCATCGGCGCATGGGGCATGTGGCCCTGCCCATCTTGCAGCAGCTAGTAAAGAATGAGATGGTTGCTGGCATACGTGTGAAGGGGGAGCCCGATGAGGTACTTGGCTGCCCGACGTGCATGCAAGCCAAGTTCACCCGTTTCCCATTCTCTAGTTCGGAGGCAACGGCTAAGGCACCACTTGATGAGGTGGTGATGGACGTGGTGGGCCCCCTGAAGCTTGGAGCTGCTGGAGCTGAGTACTTCCTCACTATTGTGGACGTCTACACCCGTATGACTTGGGTGTACGTGCTGGCCAAGAAGAGCGACGTGGCTGAAACGTTGAAGGCGGATTGGTTCCCGATGGTGGAGCGGCAACAAGACCGTCTAGTCAAGTCAATCCGCACCGATCGAGGGGGAGAGTTCCTGAGCAAGGAGTTTGGGTTTTGGCTGAAGAAGAATGGTATTCGGCACTCCCTCACCATGCCATACTCCCCTGCAATGAACGGCATCGCCGAGCGAGCGAACCGCACAATCACGGAGGCGGCACGCGGGTTGCTCATTGAAGCCGGGCTACCCGACTATTTCTGGCCTGATGCGGTGCGGAGCGCGTGTGTGGCCAAGAACCGAGCCTTGACTCATGTGGGAGCAGACAAATGGGTGCCCTATGTGGAGTGGCTAGGAAGGAAGCCAAAGGTGGATATGCTTCGGGTGTTCGGGTGCATGTGCATGGCGCTCGTGCCTAAGCATCTTCGGCACAACAAGCTTGGTGCCAAGGCGGTGTGGGCCGTGCACTTGGGCATGACTCAAAACAGCAAGGGATGGCTTCTTTGGGACCCATTCACCAAAAAGTTCTTGGTGAGCAGGGACTGCAAGTTCATGGAGAACTTCATGTACAAGGATTGGAAGGCGGAGAATGAGGCGAAGATAGGCGTGCGGTTTGGGGAGGTGAAGAGTTCCGGTTTGGAGCATGTGGAGCTGCCTTTGGAGCTGAGCAGCGGCAGCACTACCACAAGGCAATCTTCCCTTGTGAATGGGGGAGAGGAGGCCAATGATGCTGAGGAAGAAGAGGAGGAGGTGCAGCAAGTGAGCGAGCGTGCACCGTCACTCCCTTCCCGCACTACGAGTGCTCCACGGATTCGAGCCACACCGCAGCAACGCCAAGGCCTTCAAGTCCCTGCAGCTGAGGAGGAAGGAAGGGGGAAGAGGAGAGTTCAACCCCCTAATAGGCTGACCTATGATGCACTTGGAAAGCAAGGCAAGACAGCCCTGGCCGGAGCGGCAATGATGGTCGGAGACGACGAGAGTGACTACGAGGAGTGTGCCTTCACGTTCTTCTCTCCGGTGGAGATGCCGGAAGAACCAGCAACTCTCAAGGAGGCTTTGGAGAGTAGTGATGCTGAGGAGTGGAAGAAAGCCATGGAGAGTGAGCTGAAGAGCATCGAGGAGAATGACACGTTTGAATTGGTGGAGCTACCGGAGGGGCGTACGGCGATAACGTCCAAGTGGCTCTTCAAAATCAAGTCGGATGCCGACGGCAAGATCGAGCGCTACAAGTCTAGGCTTGTAGCCAAGGGGTACCAGCAGAAGGAGAAGGTGGACTTCAAGGAGCTGTTTGCCTCTGTAGTGAAGCCGACGACGCTGCGAACCCTATTCGCGGGAGTCGCCATCAAAGGATGGGTAGTAAAACAAATGGACATCGTAACGGCATTCCTTAACGGCATCCTTGAGGAGGAGATTTTTATGGCGCAGCTAGAGGGGTTTGATGATGGTAGTGGCAGAGTGTGAAAGCTGAAGAAGGCCCTCTATGGGCTGAAGCAGGCCCCTAGGCAATGGTACATGAAGCTGCACGAAGTGTTGGAGGAGATCGGCTTCACTCCCTCAACGGCCGATCACTCCTTGTACATGCTTGGCGAGGGGGAGCAGAGGAGCTTCATGGTGGTTTATGTGGATGACATTCTCATATTCTCACCCTCCTTTGACCTTGTGAAGGAGGTGATGCTGAAGCTGCATGACAAGTTCAAGTGCAAGTCCCTTGGTGACGTGAACTTCTACCTTGGGCTCCACATCGAACGAGATGTGGAGAAGCGGAGCATGCGAGTGCACCAACGGAAGTACCTGGAGGCGTTGGCTGCCAACTTCGGCCAGAGTGAAGGTCATGTGACTACTCCCTTTCCTTCTGGGTTCAAGTGTGTGAAGGGGCCAGAGGAGGAGAGCGTTGGAGAAGAGGAGAGGCGCCGATTTCACTCGTTGGTGGGCAGCCTCATGTATGCGGCGGTAAACACCCGACCGGACGTCGCGTTTGCTACCGGGCAGCTGGCTAGGGTTGTGCAATGCCCTAATGAGGAGCAGGTAGCAGCTGGAATGAGGGTGGCCAAGTATCTTGGCCAAACACCGACCGTTGGGCTGCAATACTCGGCGGCGGCACAAAGGCGCCAAAAGGGCGCGGATGGTGTTGAACCCGGGCGTTTGTTCCTCACCGCCTACTCGGATGCTTCATATGCATCAGAACCAGAGGACATGACAAGTGTGGGAGGCTTCATATGCTGTGTTGGTGGAGGCCCAACTGCTTGGGAGAGCAAGAAGCAGGTTGACCAAGCTTTGAGCTCGGTGGAGTCCGAGTACATGGCACTCTTCCGTGCCGTACGGGAGATTGTGTGGCAGCGGCGTTTGTTGGCTGAATTGGGGGAGGAGCAGCAAGGACCTACACCACTGTATTGTGACAGCCAGGGTGCCATTGCTCTTGCTAAGAACCCTGTGTTGCATGGACTCACGAAGCACATGAGGGTGAAGTGGCATTGGACGAGGAGCATGGTAACCGCGGGTGAAGTTGAGTTGCGCTACCTGAAGACCACGGGGCAGCCGGCTGACATGATGACCAAGAGGCTGGTGGAGCAGCAGCATTGGAAGTGTTGCGAGCTAGCTGGGATAGCTCTGAACTGAGAGAGCAACATATCCTAAGGCCAACAATCCGAGGGGGAGTTTGTTGGTGCAACCCTATGGTTTGCACTCGGCTTGTTGTCCGTGTGCATGCATGTGTGTGTGTATGGAATGGTATGAGGGCATGGGATAATATATATTGCATGCTTATAATTGTGTGTGAATGTTGAGTCATGATGTCGAGTGTGTGTGTCGAGTCAATAGCGAGTATCGCTAGACGCGTGTTACGCGGTCGTTTGTGTCTCGCGCGCGGTTTCTATTTTGTCGTGCGCGGTTTCTATTTTGTCCTGTGTCGAACGTTCGGTGTGTCGCAGGTGTGTGCAGCAGACCCATCAAGAACTCAAGGATGAGTTTGTGATGAAGAGCCCGAGCCTTGGTGTCAAGCCTCAAGTGATTTCGAAGCTTGCCAAAAGGGTACACCTCAAGATATTGAAGATAGTTACATTACTTTGTGTAGTGTAACATTTCACTTGGTGTAGGCCCTAGTGAAGGGTAGTTTCGAGACCCTTCGTGGGTTGGGACAGTGTGGCACTGTTCCACATCACTGTACCTCGGCTCTTGGGGTTTGTAGGAGCTGGGAGTCATTCCCAACTCGTAACTCTCCCTAACTCTTCCTATCTTGTGTTCTAAGACTATAGTGGCTGCCATAGTGCCGTTCGTTCAAACCAACGCTGTGTCGTCAGTACTTGATCAAATTGTGCGATCTAAATTGCCTAGTATAGGCGACAATAAGACGCTCCAGATCCAAGTTGAATCAAGTCATTTGAACCTGTGACCAGAACGCTATGAACGTTTGAAGCCGCTGTGCAGAAATCCGACTATACACTCTATCTTTTGTTTTAGGCACATTGGAGCCTACTGTGACTATAACAAGCGTTTCACTAAGGAAGGGGTGGAGAAGAAACCGCAAAACCCCAAGCACAATATTTATAGGCATTTTTTGACATTCGACGATCCGAAGATGAAGGGGAAGCAATGCGAGTGCCTTTGGTGCGAGAAAAATTCTGCCTTTAGTAGTAGCCGGTGCACCGCGCATCTCGCCAAATGGAACGACACGAACGTTCGCCGCGATGCCGGGATCGTTTGCGCGAAGGTTCCTAAGCGCGTTTCCAACAAAATTCGCAACGAGAAGGAGTCGAAGATTACGGCGCGCAAGGATAAGGAGAGGGCGATGGATGCGGCGCTCAATGCAGTCCAAGGTGGAGCGGGACCGAAGGCAAAGAAGGGGCGGATGGAGGATTGGTACGACGAGGGGGGGATTACGGCGAAGCGTGCGGCGGACGATGCGAATTGCCTCTGCATTGCGGGGACGCGCACGGCGGAGTCTATGTGCGAGCACCCCCTCTTCCTCAACATGCTCCGCGCCGTCAACGCCGCCGGACACGGCTACGTCCCCCCCAGGCGTGGCGTCTTTGGAGGCGCGGGGCTACTGGTGTGCAAGCAGCAGATTGAGAAGGGGTTGGTGCCCATTACGAGGACTTGGAAGGAGATTGGCGTGACGATCGCTAGCGACATGATGAGAGACAAGAGCGGGTGCGTGCAGATGAACATCATCTGCATCAACGCCGAAGGCGCGGTTTTCCAGGAGGCGGTCGACTGCAAGGCGGAGACAAAGACTGGAGCTTTTATCGTGAGCGTCCTGCAGCCGATCATCGAGAAGGTTGGACCAGAGCACGTCGTCGCGATTTGCACGGACGGTGGCAGCAACTACGTGTCCGCCGGCAAGCAGCTGCAGAAGAAGTACCCGCACATCGAGATCGTCCCCTGCGCCACTCATGTGCTCGACCTGCTGTTGGAGGACTTCGGCAGCATGGATTGGGCGCAGGAGGTCGTGCCAGTTGCGACCGACATGATCTCATTCGTGCGCAGCCACACGTGGACGCGTGCCTTCCTGCGGTGTCCGGAGCTGCACGGCGAGAAGAAGTCGCTGCAGCCGCTGCGACCGGCGGGCACGCGCTTTGGGACGCAGTACATTGCGGTTTCACGTCTGCGTGAGATTCGCCCGCAGCTGACTATGATGGTGACGCATAAGGACTGGGAGGAGAAGGGGAGGAAGCAGCTGACTGGCAAAACCTTTGAGGCGACGGTATTGGATGTGGAGTGGTGGAAGAAGGTGGATACCTTCGTCAAGGTGATGGAGCTGCCGTACAAGGTGATGAGGAAGACGGATGGGCCGGCGAAGGGGATGATGGGGGCAATGTACGACATGATGCTGTAGCTGACGGTCGACTTGGGGAAGCTGCTGGAGAGTGCGAATTGCCAGCTCAGCAAGGAGGGTAAGGAGGGTTTGCAGGAGCATTTGAGGCGGCGTTGGGACGAGAGTTTGGCCTGCCCTCTTCACGTGGTAGGCCGGATTCTGAACCCGGTCAACCAAGAGGAGGGGATTTACCTCAAAGACAAGGAGTGCAGCAGGGTGATGAAGGGCTGGCTGCAACGCTCGAGGGCTTTGGTCGACAAGTACTGGAAGAAGGACGGCGAGACGAACGGAACAATGAAGGCGCTGCAGGAGGGGATGCTGGCGTACATTGAGTGCAAGGGGTCCTTTGGGTCCAAGGAGGCGATAGAGGGGCGTGAGGAGCTGAAGGCAGGGAAGGGGGACATGGTGACGGGGAGGAAGGTCAATGGCTGGGAGTATAGGGAGCTGGCAGGCCTTGCGTGCCGTGCGGTGGCACAGGCCGTTTCCGCTTCTCCGTGCGAGCGAGGATGGGCAGTGTGGGATGGGGTGCACATGGCGCGTAGGAACAGGCTGGGGTCGGAGAAGGTGCGCGACCTGGTGTTCGTGGCGCACAACTGGACGGTTGTGCACGGCCACCACCAGGGTGCAGCTGGTGGTGCAGGACCAAGTGGGGAAGTCAGGAAGGTGGGGGTAGTGGAGGGAAACATCCCCACCCCTCCCCTCCCCAAGGGATACAAGTTGGAGGAGGATGGGGAGAGGGAGGTGGACGAGGACGACCCGTGCGTCGACGAGTACAAGGAGCAGGAAGCGATGGACAAAGAGGAGGAGGAGAGCGCGGAGGAGGATGATGGGGATGCGTGACTGGTTGACTTGATGCAGTGCAGTGCAGTGGTAGTTTAGTATGCATGTTCTTAAGTGGTTGGACTAAATTAAATGTGTGTGTGACCTTGTGTCATGTGCTACATGACTCACCTTAGTCATGAATTTTGGGTGAAAAAAAAGTTGTTGGGAAAAATTTGCCTTGAAAGTGTGGAAGTTCCCCCTGCCCCCCCTCTTCCCATGCCCTATACAAAGTTTTTTTGCCTGCCCGAAGGTTTTTTTTGCCCTGCCCGGACTTGCGTCTTTTGGTGCGTCTTAGGGGTCCAGGTTCTGCGTCCTACATCTGGACGCATGCGTCCAAGACGCAGGACACGTCTTCCGCAACTAAGGTACACGGCACATCAGATCAACCTCCAGCCCCGGGTCTCCGTGCCGGAGACCACACCTACTCTGCGGTGGACGGGGAAGGTTGGCGATGCGTCTGCGTTCCGTGTCTCGGAATCTCGAGCTTTTGTCCGCGACTTGTCTGCGGACAAGCTGTCCTCCCGTGCTGTTCCCTGCGTCTTCCTTGGCTTCCCCCCTGACGCGCATGGTTGGCAGTTTTACCACCCCACCTCGTGCCGTGTTCTGTCCTCTCAGGACGTCACGTTTGACGAGTCGGTTCCTTACTACCGTCTCTTCCCCTACCGCACTGCCACCCTCCCCCCCCACCCTACGTGGTCGGCGTCCACGTAGCCGACCAGCTCCAGCGACTCTGGTCCACCACCAAACTCCAGGGCGGTGTCACGCGTGTTGGCGAGGTAGGCGAGGCAGCGGTCGACCTCGCGCCAGTGCTGGTCGCTCCTCACCGTGAGGCCGCTCCCCAGCTTGCTGCAGGCGAAGGCGATGTCCGGCCTCGTCGTCGTCGCCGCGAACTGCAACAAGCCGACCTTCTGCCTGTACTCCTCCTCTTGGCGTTCCTGCGCCTCCTCGTCGTCGAAGGTGAGCTCGGCGTAGGCGTCGACCGAGACCGGCGTCTTCAGGTTGCGCCCGGTCTGCTCCTCGTCAATGAAGCGCCTATGTAGCTTGTCAGCGTAGCCTTGCTGGTGCTGCCACAGCTTCCCCGCCGATCTGTCGCGCACAATCTCCAGCCCGAGGTACTTCTGCACCGGCGAGATCTCACGCAGCTCAAAGGCGGCTTCCAGCAGCTCCTTCAGCCCCTCCAGCATCGCGGCGCTGCTGCTGGCGGTGAGCAGGTCGTCGACGTAGACCAGCACCCAGCAGGCCACTCCGTCGTCGCCGACCTTGAAGTACAGAGCCTCGTCGGCCTGGCTCTTCTTCAACCCGGCGCCGACCAGCACGTCGTTGAGCGCCAAGTACCACAGCAGCGGCGACTGCTTCAGCCCGTACAGGCTCTTCAGCAGCTTGCACACACGGCTGTTATAGTCACAGTAGGCTCCAATGTGCCTAAAACGAAAGATAGAGTGCACAGTCGGATTTCTGCACAGCGGCTTCAAACGTTCATAGCGTTCTGGTCACAGCTTCAAATGACTTGATTCAACTTGGATCTAGAGCGTCTCATTCTCGTTTACACTAGGCAATTTAGATCGCACGATTTGTCTAAGTATTGACGACACAGCGTTGGTTTGAACGAACAGCACTATGGCAGCCACTATAGTCTTAGAACACAAGATAGGAAGAGTTAGGGAGAGTTACGAGTTGGGAATGACTCCCAGCTCCTACAAACCCCAAGAGCTGAGGTATAGTGATGTGGAACAGTGCCACACTGTCCCCAACTATGAAGGGTCTTGAAACTACCCTTCACTAGGGCCTACACCAAGTGAAATGTTGCACTACACAATGTAATGTAACTATCTTCAATATCTTGGGGTGTACCCTTTTTTCGCGGGCTTCGCGATTACTTGAATGTTGACACCAAGGCTCGGGTTCTTCATCACAAACTCATCCTTGAGTTCTTGATGGGTCTGCTGCACACACCTGCGACACGCCGAACGTTCGACAAGAGACAAAATAGAAACCGCGCACGACAAAATAGAAACCACGCGGGACACACAAAACGACCACGTTACACGCGACTAGCGATAATTCGCTATTGACTTGACACACACACTTGACATCATGACCCATCATTCACACACTATTATAAGCATGAAATATATATTTATTTCATGCACTCATTCCATTCCATGCACACACGCATGCACGCACATGGACAACAAGCCGAGTGCAAACCGTAGGGTTGCACCAACAAACTCCCCCTCGGATTGTTGGCCTTAGGATCTTGCTCTCTTAGTTCAGAGCCATCCCAGCCAGCTTGCAACACTTCCAATGCTGCTGCTCCACCAGCCTCTTGGTCATCATGTCAGCCGGCTGCCCCGTGGTCTTCACGTAGCGCAGCTCAACTTCACCCGCGGCCACCATGCTCCTCGTCCAATGCCACTTCACCCTCATGTGCTTCATGAGTCCATGCAACACAGGGTTCTTAGCAAGAGCAATGGCACCCTGGCTGTCACAGTACAGTGGGGTAGGTCCTTGCTGCTCCTCCCCCAATTCAGCCAACAAACGCCGCTGCCACACAATCTCCCGTACCGCACGGAAGAGTGCCATGTACTCGTACTCCACCGAGCTCAAAGCTTGGTCAACCTGCTTCTTGCTCTCCCAAGCAGTTGGGCCTCCACCAACACAGCATATGAAGCCTCCCACACTTGTCATGTCCTCTGGTTCCGATGCATATGAAGCATCCGAGTAGGCGGTGAGGAACAAACGCCCAGGTTCAACACCATCCGCACCCTTTTGGCGCCTTTGTGCCGCCGCCGAGTATTGCAGCCCAACGGTCGGTGTTTGGCCAAGATACTTGGCCACCCTCATTCCAGCTGCTACCTGCTCCTCATTAGGGCATTGCACTACCCTAGCTAGCTGCCCGGTAGCAAACGCGACGTCCGGTCGGGTGTTTACCGCCGCATACATGAGGCTGCCCACCAACGAGTGAAATCGGCGCCTCTCCTCTTCACAAACGCTCTCCTCCTCTGGTCCCTTCACACACTTGAACCCAGAGGGAAAGGGAGTAGCCACATGACCTTCACTCTGGCCAAAGTTGGCAGCCAACGCCTCCAGGTACTTCCGTTGGTGCACTCGCATGCTCCGCTTCTCCACGTCTCGTTCGATGTGGAGCCCAAGGTAGAAGTTCACGTCACCAAGGGACTTGCACTTGAACTTGTCATGCAGCTTCAGCATCACGTCCTTCACAAGGTCAGAGGAGGGTGAGAATATGAGAATTTCATCCACATAAACCACCATCAAGCTCCTCTGCTCCCCCTCGCCAAGCATGAACAAGGAGTGATCGGCCGTTGAGGGAGTGAAGCCGATCTCCTCCAACACTTCGCGCAGCTTCATGTACCATTGCCTAGGGGCCTGCTTCAGCCCATAGAGGGCCTTCTTCAGCTTCCACACTCTGCCACTACCATCATCGAACCCCTCTGGCTGTGCCATAAAAATCTCCTCCTCAAGGATGCCGTTAAGGAATGCCGTTACGATGTCCATTTGTTTTACTACCCATCCTTTGATGGCGACTCCCGCGAATAGGGTTCGCAGCGTCGTCGGCTTCACCACAGGGGCAAACAGCTCCTTGAAGTCCACCTTCTCCTTCTGCTGGTACCCCTTGGCTACAAGCCTAGACTTGTAGCGCTCGATGTTGCCGTCGGCATCCGACTTGATTTTGAAGAGCCACTTGGACGTTATCGCCGTACGCCCCTCCGGCAGCTCCACCAATTCAAACATGTCGTTCTCCTCGATGCTCTTCAGCTCACTCTCCATGGCCTTCTTCCACTCCTCAGCATCACTACTCTCCAAAGCCTCCTTGAGAGTTGCTGGTTCTCCCGGCATCTCCACCGGAGAGAAGAACGCGAAGACACACTCCTCGTAGTCACTCTCCTCGTCGTCTCTGACCATCATTGCTGCTCCGGCCAGGGCTGTCTTGCCCTGCTTTCCCGGCGCATCATAGGTCAGCCTATTAGGGGGTTGAACTCTCCTCTTCCCCCTTCCTTCCTCCTCAGCTGCAGGGACTTGAAGGCCTTGGCGTTGCTGCGGTGTGGCTCGAATCCGTGGAGCACTTGTAGTGCGGGAAGGGAGTGACGGTGCACGCTCGCTCACTTGCTGCACCTCCTCCTCTTCTTCCTCTGCATCATTGGCCTCCTCTCCCCCATTGACAAGGGAGGATTGCCTCGTGGTTGTGCTGCCGCTGCTCAGCTCCAAAGGCAGCTCCACATGCTCCAAACCGGAACTCTTCACCTCCCCAAATCGCACGCCTATCTTCGCCTCATTCTCCGCCTTCCAATCTTTGTACATGAAGTTCTCCATGAACTTGCAGTCCCTGCTCACCAAGAACTTTTTGGTGAATGGGTCCCAAAGAAGCCATCCCTTGCTGTTTTGAGCCATGCCCAAGTGCACCGCCCACACCGCCTTGGCACCAAGCTTGTTGTGCCGAAGATGCTTAGGCACGAGCGCCATGCACATGCACCCGAACACCCGAAGCATATCCACCTTTGGCTTCCTTCCTAGCCACTCCACATAGGGCACCCATTTGTCTGCTCCCACATGAGTCAAGGCTCGGTTCTTGGCCACACACGCGCTCCGCACCGCATCAGGCCAGAAATAGTCGGGTAGCCCGGCTTCAATGAGCAACCCGCGTGCCGCCTCCGTGATTGTGCGGTTCGCTCGCTCGGCGATGCCGTTCATTGCAGGGGAGTATGGCATGGTGAGGGAGTGCCGAATACCATTCTTCTTCAGCCAAAACCCAAACTCCTTGCTCAGGAACTCTCCCCCTCGATCGGTGCGGATTGACTTGACTAGACGGTCTTGTTGCCGCTCCACCATCGGGAACCAATCCGCCTTCAACGTTTCAGCCACGTCGCTCTTCTTGGCCAGCACGTACACCCAAGTCATACGGGTGTAGACGTCCACAATAGTGAGGAAGTACTCAGCTCCAGCAGCTCCAAGCTTCAGGGGGCCCACCACGTCCATCACCACCTCATCAAGTGGTGCCT